ATTTTAAAATTTGTCTTTCTTAAAAATAATTCTATTTTGCACAACTCAAGCTCCACGCTTAGCATGCACTTTTCTTCCATTCCTATTTTTCTTGACTTAATTTACTACCGATTGTTAACACATCTAGATGGTTCTAGATTTGGTGTACTTAATTGATAATAGTAAGCAACCACATGATGTTATTAAGAAAGTATTATTTATTGGAAATTCTGATAATTTCATCATTTGATTTTATCGTAAGTCGAGTGTAAAAATCTCAGAAAAATTTCCAAGCTGTAATTAATTAGAATTGCAGCTCTATAATAATTAAGTCTCTTGAATTACATGACATCACCAATTTTATTAAACAAAAGCGATTTTGTGTGACATCACATAAAATAATAAAATTAAACAATGCTATTGGAATTGCATTCTCATTATTTAATTAGTGACACATTTTTGCTTATTTCTGGTCTTTATGAGTCTTGTAATGCAGTTTAGAACAATTATTATGGAAAAGTTTTTACACAAGTTTGCTCATGGAATGTCGTAAAATTATTCATTACAGACTGAAACTTCATAAAAAGTTGGTCAGACAAAGTTGGTTTTTTGCTGATTAAGTGAGACAAACAGAATCGAGTACATAGATGTTTGTGCATTATTTTTCTAGGCAATTTGAGTCGCCATTACAATTTCGCAATGCAGTGTATAAATAGTTGAGGGATTTCCGCATTTTGTTTTTGCTCTAGTGATTTTTTGAATTACTTTTCTTTTATACTCTTAAAGATAAAATAGCAAAATGCAAAGGTGTTTTATGTACTAATGAAATATTTTACTATTTTTTTAAAAAAATATTTTGTTGATAACCAAAACTCGAGCATGTGTTTTTAAATGTCGCAATAAAAAAAACACTTGAATAAACAAACCATATATTATCACTTCCAGTACAATTTGTCTTATAAATCATTCCCTTAGTACCTCTTGTTCATATGTGCTCGAATCTGATTACGTTCTTCATACGAATTTCACGAGTGATGAGTTTCACGTGATTACATCTTTTTCAATGATCTCATAAATGAGATATTTATGTTTGAAAGAAATTTTTCGAAATACGAAAGAGATCATATCGTAGACTTCTCGTGCTTTTTTTTTCGCGAAGAACGTGCGTTAACGAACTCTCAATAGTGTTTACTACTTCGTTTTGCAGTTGTGATACGAAATGAAAAGAATCATTTGTTTATACAGAAATTGTCACTGCTGTACTGAAACATCTTTAAAGAATACGACATTTTGGGGTTATCGTTTCAATATGAAGCTATAAGTATGGACAGGTGATAACTTGTCACACGACATCTGGAATTTTAGGCTGTTTAAAAGGAAACTTCAAGGATTTTTTTTGTATAGTCTATTCATCCTCTTATCATTGCTGAATCTTTTTAATAAAACTTTTTTTTGGAAGCAATGTAATACAATAAGACATCCAGGATGTATTAAAACATTAAATAAGAAATTATTCTTGGAAGAGAAATAGATGATTAACATGTATTAAGCACGAATCTCTTATCTGCTCTAGGAAGTAGTATCATCATCATCTTCGAAGATAATAAAAAACTTAGTCTATAAAAAGACACTTGTGGATGATTCAATGCTATAATAGAATTACGAAAGAGTTACGAAAAACCTCTAATAGATAACGTATGATCACGTGTTTATCATCTCATGTTTCCCATTCTGAGGATTTTTACGTCAGACGGCAAATTTGAGTCCAAAAAAGTCAAAAATAAAATGAAAATGTTGCTAGTAAATAAATTCAATTGCGTGTGATTCTCAGAGAAAAAGAGGAAAAAATAAATAATGACGCTATCATTCTGAGTAATAATAAGTAATGCAATGGTTAAACAACTTCCAATGTAATAAATTATAGGAATTGTGATTTCGATCTGTTGTTAATTGAAAATCAATCAATCTAAAAATTAGCGGAAAGTTTTCATGCCTAGTGACTACATGACTATGTTCACACAGCGCAAACAGCGCCATGCCTGAGTCGAACTTTGTTGATAACGACTTCAGATATTTTCAGTTCATATTTTATTTTATGACATTGATAACGGCACGAGCACGTAAAATATGTAGTCCATAGACTTCCGATTATAGCCTTAAAGGATTACTTAATTTTTTTTATATTCCCGTTTGAAAATTAAGTAAGTCATTTACTATTGCTTTGCAAACTTTTAAGAAATTCGTGCAAAAAAGCAAAACAACAAATGTTGTGAATAATTTGTAAAGTTTTTTTTGCATTAGTTTTAATAATTGCACTATATCAGCGATAAACTTGTGTCTTTGACACAGACAATAAATATCATGCTTAATACATGAATTAGAGCGATGCCACGTTTCTTCAATTATAATTTGAGCTGGGGTATTTTTCAGCTATTCGTTCCTGTTTAGAGTGCGCTAATAGGCGCTAATTTTAGTTTTTATTAATTTTGATATCGAACTTATTTTGGGTCGTTAAAAACCAGATTCATATAAATTCATACATAATGTGGTACATGCCAAACATTTGAATTGTCAACAATTTTGTAATTCAGTTGTTAACTTGTTAATTCACTATTTAACAAAAAATAAATAGATTCCAAAAACATTTAAATTTGACATGAAAATTTAAATATGGAGCATTGAATAATTTTTGTGCAAACCGAGATCGGAAACTTTGTATGAACAAGGTTACAAATTTATTTCCCGGAACCAAAAGAAAATTTTTCATCTTAGAACTAGATACCAATCCGTCTTTAAAGTGAGCCAAAAGTGCACCACAGTGATAAAAAATAATTAAAAATCAAGAATTATTAATGACTTGAATTTTAAAAACCTTGACTAAAAAATTAATTGCTGTCTTAGGAAAGACATATTAATTTAAACAGATGACGGGTAATTCCCAGTTAGCAGATCCCGAGTTTCCATCAATTAATAAAAATTGCACAAGTGAGTGAAAACTACTGCAAACAGCAGTAAAGTCAAAAAAATTGACCTAATGTTTTGGCACCAGAAGTGTATTCGTTGCTTTGAAAAACAAAGAAAAATTATATGAAGCACATACTTCAGACAAATTGTTATTAGGAAAGTGCGCAAAATGAGAAATGTACAGATGAGAAAAATAAATGAAAGAATTATAGCCTTGCTATTCACTCTCACTATGTTGTGTCTTAATTAATTTTATTGAGTGAATATATTGATGCTTCAATTAGAATTTATGGCTATCCTCCCTACATGTGCAATATTTGAAATGCATTATTTCCGCTTTGAATCATTTTCAAGTTCATCAAATTCCACCCTGCCTTTATTTGCTCCCTTTTTGATGATTTCATTTTATAATTTTTTTTAAAAGAACGTTAGGTCAAGGTCACTGTGTCCTTTCATACCTTTTTCCTCTCTTTCCTTTCCGTTCCCTTCAAAGCGTACTTATTATTTTTACCACATAGCGTTAGCATTGTAATAAATATTAAGGCGGTCTATAATTCTTTCTTCACAGAAAAGGGATTGGCATTCTCTATTTTTATAATAATGTGTCTCATCCAAATACACTCAAGTATCGGTAATGATTTAGAAAAATAAATCTACAAACATATGATGTAATACGAGAATCCAAAAATGGATAAATATTTTCCTAACAGTTGCAGGAAGGAAAAAATTAAAAGAACCGTAAAGTAAACAGAAAAAAGAGTCCTCATTATAGAAAACATTTACTAAAAACTCGGAATAAGAGGTCTTAAACAAAAATCATAAACAAAATATCATATTGCATGATGATGATATATATTTTGCTAATACATACAATTAAGCAGGCATAAAACTTCTAGGAAATTTTTTATTTTTTAAAATCTGTTATTAGTATTCTTAACTTCTTCTATATTCACATGCTTCAACAGCCACCGCATATATTTCAGAAATTTATTATTCAATACATTTTAGGCGCATTTTGTTGAGGAAAATTGTCTACAGACACACATTTCACTCATTTATCGAACTAACCTTTCGAAGTTAAATTTTAATTGATAATATTTTCTCTTTTATCTTAGCGACTAGATTTCTTTGCTATAGACAATGTGTCGATTAGAACAAGCGTGTCCCATAAAATTGGGCAAAAAAGAGACAGAAAACGTATGCGGCAATAGCTGCGTTATAAAATATGCGGTCGCAGAATCGTCGAAAGACATTCACATGGTTGTACTTAATTATTTTTAGATTATGCAAAGAAGAAGATTTAAATTTAGAAAAAGGGCAGACAATAATGCAATTTTTCTTATTTATTTCACTTTTTTTTCTGTGTGTCTCAAACTGATTTTAATTTCTCAATTTTTCCACTGTTGAATTTTCTGGATGCCTATTTTCTTCTTTTCTATCGATTTTTCTCTTTATCTTTCTGTCTCTTTCTCCATTTAATATTGTAGCGACGTAAAAATTACATTTCATAATTGGAAAAGAAATGGAGATATCACCTCATATAATAAATGTCATTTAAGTATTGCAAAAAATATCGTGAATGCAAAATTGACTTTTTATTCACTTGAAAATATTTTCATTTTCTTCTTTACTTTTTCTCCATAATTTACACATTTTTTCTTCCGTCCATATAGTCAGAAAAGTTTCCCACATTTTCGTGAATTTTTGATGAAATAGTTTGGTTATATGATTTTTAAAATGATATTAAAATGAATGCTATTCTAATGAATATTAATACGTACTTAAAAGAGCACAGTTTTGGAATTTTAGTGGTTTTTAATAACTTTATAACTTCACAAATGTGATACAGTTGAGCTTTTTATAATCAACCAACAACTTCGGTGTTTTCTTTCAAACTGACTACATATATTGCTCATGCAATTTTGTGAGTAGTCATACAGGAAACTTCTTACTAATACAATCAAAGAAAATTTTCTATTCAGCTCAGCGTTGAATCTTCTTCTTATAGGGAAGCATAAACTTTTCAGTCGAATTTCACAATAAATAATTATTTTTGAGTTTTGATGGATTCGCTTAGTTATTTCAATTTCAATGAATATCATAAAAATCTATGGTTATCTAAGAATCCTCCAAGATTATTGAAGATAATCCATGTGCCGGTTAGAACATTCATTACAGCATGTTACTTAAAGCTCATTATGTAGGGGGAATCCGGACGACGTCAGCACATTCAAAAAATATTTTTACCGTTAAAAAAAATTGTTTTGGTTTGTTTATTTTGTGAATACAAATTATTTTTTACAATTTTGCACTTGTATTCATGGCATCAATTGCACGTTCCAAGACTTCAGTTCCACATCCCCATGAAAGTGTAACACCAGAGCCACCATGACTGTAATTGTTTGTAAAGTGTCAATTAATAAGTTGTACTGTCTTAGTACTAGGCATAAAGTATTTGTTGTCATGTCATAGCCAAGATATATAGATGGGCTCATACAGAGTATACTTGACCATACTCGACCATACTATTTTTTGTGTACTTATACAAACAAAATTTTTTAAAATTTTCTATTTTCAAGTTTTCATTTAAATATCGACAGATGCAACAACATTTGACTTTAGTCAGTTACTTTTAATTATAGCAAAGCATTTGCAATACTCCTGTATCAACAAAACTTAACAGAAAGTTGAAAATTTTGCAAAACAAAAATTGAAAATTTTCTTTTATAGTGTTAGTGTTTTTAGAAAATTCAAATTTTTGACGTTTAAAAACTGCGATATTTTTGTATGAGCACATCTATATATCTTGGTCATAGCTTTGACATCAGATTATCATTTGATACTTTTCGTAAGTTTGAGCATCGCGAACTCACCCAACATTATGAATGATTGTAGTTTTTCCATTTCCTCTGTGTTCAGTCTCAAGTCTAACACTGTTCCTTCCTGGACGGAGACCAACTCCATTTATAACCTTTTCCGCATTTACAAGACTCTTGACCATTCGTTGACACCCTTAATAAGAAGAATAAAAAATCATTTTCAGGTACACAATTTTGAAGACTTCAATAATATTTTATAGTATAATTAGTTTTTCAAGTGGCTTAAATTAAAATAACTGTGTGTACCTGCATTGATAAAATCATGATCAGGTATGGAAACATTCAAATTGTAATCATCAACTTGATGAGTTCCGCCTAAAATAACACTATCATCATTTGGGATAATATAATTTCCGTCGTCGCTGTTATCAATAATAACACTGTACATCCATGGCGCCTTAACTCTTGTTACTTGTCCTCTAATTGGATGAAGTAAATCATCACCCAAAAACTTGCCTCCTAAGCCAGTACAATTGATAATTAAATCCGCTCCAGTTACATCTTCAAGATTAATAATCTTTCTTTGTTCAAATTTTCCACCAGCTTTAAGGAATCGTTTTGTTAGATAAGGTAACATTTTCTTTGGTTGACAACAAAAGGACACAAATTGATATCCAGAAAGATAATTTCTCCCATGCTCCTTGCTATATTTCTCCACCTCAGCAGGGGTCAATTCACGAAAACCAAATGGAATATCTCTCCAAGATGGATTACATCTAGACTCTTCTGTTGATAGACCAAGAACAGGGGTCATTGTTACTCCTGAATCTCCTGCTAATCCATTAATCCACAATTCATGAAAGAATTTATGAGATCCTTTCGACCATTGACTAAAAATAGAATATTAATGATGATTATTTACACTCATACATTTATTTTAAAAAATAATTCACATTATCTTATCAGGGTCTGTATTGCCCATAAGATATGGACTCCATAATCCAGCGACAAGATCACTTAAAGTGAAAGGTGTCATTTTTTCTGCAATAACAATGACCTGAACATTTTTGTTTTGAAAATACTCAGCCAATTGAACTGCAGAACTCATTCCACACACACCAGCACCAATCACAAAAATTTTCTTCATCTTCAGTGTCTAATTTCTGCTGTCCTCTGGTTTACTTGATTATTTGTGAACAACTAAAATACTTTTGAAAACAAGCGACATATTATATACATCAAAAGAAAGAAGAGACTCTGTAGAGATTAATAATGCGTCATTAATACAAATGTGTGACTTCTGATAACATAAACAACCGGTAATAATGTAAAATGATAAGTAATAAGATTAATTCAGACAAGATAAAAAAATATATAGATTAATTGAATCAATAGTTGTGATAATTTTTATTGAATAAGAAGGTTTCATAAGGATTAAAATACTTTAAAAGAAAAACAAATGAATTTTACTTTTTTTGTTACAAATTTTTCTATTTCGTCCATAAAGCCCATCCGCTTTTGCATGAATTTTGTAGCACCTGAAGTTCATCGGAACTCAATTTTAGAATCGTATTAAGAACTGGAATTAATCTTTGCTTTTCATCACCATTATTTAAAGTCACAAACTTAATGATAATATTTTTAAGATACTCTGAATTTTGAATATGTTGCTCGCGTTCAATTGAGCGTTGATGACGACGAACTTCTTCTTTTAACATTTCATTCAACTGCTGCATTCTTGCTAAATCTTTCTCAGAATCAGCTAATAAAGTCGTAAGATGTACAACTCGACTTTCTTCTTTTTGCAACCTTGTTTTAGTCTGTTCAAGTAGTTCTGAAGGCGATGAATAATTAGAAATTGTTTCTTCATTCATTTCATTGTAGTTGTCATCAAATGATGAATTTAAAAGCTCATCGAGTGGAATCAAATCACGACCGCGTGAAATTTTCCTTTTATTGTGGAAATGACTATAAGTCATTGACTGGGATGATTGATCTTCTGATCCTTCAACTTCTCTGTCCATTAAATCAAGCATATTTGATAATTTCTGATCGTCAGTTTTAGGTATTAAAACTGCTTCTGAACTCGATGTCATAGAAGCATTCTGTGCAGAATTTCTCTCTAAAATACTTATTTTATCTTGAAGTTCAAGGATGGAATTTTGTTTTGATTCTTCCAAGTCTTGTATTCGCTTTTTGTAAAAAGTATTTAAAGTATCAATTTGTAACTGATATGCTTTGATAGATTCATCATGCTCTTGATTTCTCTTGCGTGATTCGTCCAATACTTCTTCACTTTGCTTTTCTAATGTTGATAACAAATCTTTGCATCTACCTTGAAGTCTTGTTTTATCTTCGACAAGACTGTTGTAATTTTTCTTCAATGCTTCTAATTCGCTATTAATTTTATGATTTGATTCCTTGAAATTTTCTAAAGATGTCTTTAGAATAACAACTTCATCTTGTAACTCGTGTTCTTTACCCAAGTCTTTTGTTTGATTTTGGCGAAGAACACTTTGTGCTCGTACTTTATAGCTAACAAATTCACTTCTAATATCTTCAATTTCTTTTTCATGTGCTGATGATAATTTCTTAAATTTCTCAACCTCACTCTCTAAAAAGCTTATATTTTTTAACAACTCATTGCGTTCAGATTCAAGAGATTGGTATCTTTTTTCCATCTCCCCAACTGTCTTAGCCATTTCCAATTTTACTTCATTATTTTCTAATTTTAAACTTTCGTAATTTTTGGTTAATAAATCATATTGCAAATTTGATTCCGTTCTCTCGTGTTCTGTTTTTCGAAGCAGATTAAGTTGGTTGTCAAGATTTTTCTTGATATCTACAGAATGTGCCTTTTCAGATTCCAAATTTTCTTCTAATGAAGCGATTTGTGACTTGAAGGAATTTATCGTCTCATTTTGAATTGAAATTGTATCTTCTAATTCCACTACTTGTTTCTTCTTGGTTTCTAACTTTTTATTCGTTTCGTCAAGAGTCTTCTCAAATGCTTCGATTTCTAAATCTAATACACTTGGTTTCTTCATGGACTGTTTCAGTTTCTTCTGTGCTTCTTTTTCTTCATCAAGGAGCTTATCTTTTGCCTTGATGGTCTCATTTAATGTTTCAATTTGTTGCTTCATTTCACCAATTTCTTTTTCGTTTGAATTTTGGACTTTTGCTGCTTCAAGAGCTTCCTCAAGTTTTTTTATCTCCTCATTTTTATTTTTGATTTCTAAGTTCAATTCTTTCAATTGAATCACAAGTCTTGTTGATGCATTGGCAATATCTTTTTGCCAATTGGCTACATAATCACCATACTCTTTAGTTAAACTCAACAAGACACTCTTTTCAGCTTTGATTAGCTTTGCTTGCTCATAAACTTCAAATAATTTTTCTCTGTACGCTTTCAGCTTTTTTAATACTTTTTCATAACGGACCTTAATTTCATCCGATGGTGTATTACTTGATTCGATAGATGTTTTTAATTCAGAATTCTCTTGAATAACATTTTTTATTTTTATTGATTTATTGTCAATCACTTCTTTAAGTGACGAGATTTCTTTGCATTTTTCTTCATATTGCGTTCTCAATGATAAAATTTCCTCATTAAGTTTATTGATTTTTTCATTTTCCTCATCATTATCGCATTTGGACGTTTTCGATTCAATTGATTGCATATCTTCTATCAATGATTCATTTTCATCAGTTAACCTTTGTAGTTGTCTTTTTAACGATTCATTTTCAATTGTGACCTCATCATTTTTGGTTTGTAGTTGTCGAATGGACACGTCTCTTTTTGAAATTTGTTTATTCGCTTCCTCTATTTGATTTGCACTTGCGAGTTTATTTTGTGTGAGATTTTCAACAACTTCTTGTATTACCTCATTCTGTTGTTTTAGTTTATCTAATTCCTCTTTTATTTGTTTATTTTCTTCAAATAATTCTAGTAATAAAAATATTGAAAATATCGATTATTGAAGACAATTGCATGCATGCTACTCGTTAATTATGTAAATCCTCAACTCACCATCTTTTGAATTTTTTGCCTTTCGGGCAATCAATAACAATTTGTTACATTTCGTTATTAATTCCTCTCTGGATAGCTCATCAAATGATGAACTTTTTTTCTCCTATAAAAATATTAAAAGATTTCTTATTGCTGATAGACATTATGCTATTTTATAATTTACCTGATTAGCTGTGGAGTGACTGTTTTTGTTTTCATCCATTATTTTTAAATTGAGTTACTTCATTCTATTTAAATTAAAAAAAACTTTTTTCACTTTGTTGTGTTGTCAATTTTTTTTTCTTAATGTCAAAAATTGATATTGTTTAAAAACATGCACGACATCTGTAGGAATTTAAGCAAACATTAACAGAGATTTTTAAACATTTTCAACACGTTACAAGCATTTTAAATCATTTTATTGCAATTTTTATTTTTTTTTTTCTTAGAATATCTTTTATCTCTTTATTAAAATTGTTTTCGGAAGTAGCTTTAAATGTAGATTTTTGGCATGAGGTTCATTTCTTGAAAAGGCTTCCAAACCTCCAAAAGCAGTTCATTCTACGATCATCATCATGTATATGTCTCACAGATGGAAGTTTAAGTAAAGACTCGTCTTCATAAGGTGGATAAATTTTATCACGTTTGAGGATTTGATTTTCAAGTTCAAGATCGTAATTCGTTCCTCTAAGTTCTTTTAATTCCCGCTTCATCAGCTCATTTTCTCTATGTGCTTCTGTGAAAGGAAGTAAATCATGAGAACTTAATATGTTTTTGTGTTATGATATTTGTATTATCTGGGTATTCGCAGTTAAGTGATTTTATATTGATTAAGGCTGATTAAAACGATGCATTACCGTCTTTTGATTTTTTTGCCTTTTTTGCAACTCCTAAATATTTATTACATAGTTGAACTAGTTCTTCCTTCGGTAGCTCGTCTAATTTGTATGTTGGTTCTTGATCCTAAAAAAATTTAAAATTTCAATAGTGTTTTTTTTGGATTTCACAAAAATTACCTTGAAATCAGGATCAGCAGTTTCATTGTGCACCAAAATGACGTTCGACATTATCTATAACTTATTTAGCCTAATTTGGAATATAGACTAATTATGCTAGTGCTGTAATTTTTTAAAACATGCGTTTGCACAGGACACAAATAACTGAATGAATGATTACACTTATTACTATAAAATGTTATTTATTTACGAGTCAGTTAAAACATTTTTGTGAGAGAATTACACAAATATCTCTCATTTTAGAATAAGCAATTACACCATACACAACACAATTCACATCTCTATACAGCTCGCATTTCGCTTTGAATCCAAGGAACATACTGAGCAATATCAGTAAAAATGGCATACGAATTCACATCACAGGAAAGTCCATCACGAAGTGATGCAGACACGATTCCTCTAATGAACCATTTCTTTCCAACTTTCAGCACTAATCCACCGCCACCTTAAACATTTAAGTTGTAAAACTTTAGTTGAAAAATCACGATTTAGAACTTACTGTCTCCTTGGCATGGTCCTTCTCCATTCCTTCCACCCGCACAGAATGTACGATCTGATGTTATGTGAACAAATGCTTCATGCGCTCTTAGACAAGTTCCATCAGAAACGATCGGGACGTTTACTTTTTTGGGAAAATCTGTGTTGAGCTTTCCATCGTCATTCTTACCCCATCTTTAATTATAATGATTATTTAAGTAATGGATAGTTTAAATTTTAAAGGAATTGTTCGCTTTTTATAGAACGCATTAACACTAGATTTTTTACAGTTCAAAACTGTTTCCATGTTTCATGAAAATTTTTCTTTCAAACATATTTCTTATAAAACGTAATATTTTCCCAACATGTTATATATCGTTTTAAAGCTTGTTTAATAAGCTATTTAAAAATGATAAGCAACTTTGGAAAATATTTAATTAAAGTGGATTTTTTGCTAAAAATATACACTGTCACATGGAAACACTTTTGAGCTAATAATTGTTTCTCCAAATTTTGATGCATAGCAGAACTAATTGATTAAAGTTTGTATATTATAGTAAAAAACAAGTAAAATATTAGATAAAAGCGTATAAATTAAGTTGCTAGACATAGTTAAAATATTTACCAAGATATATAGATGTGCTCATACAAAAATATCGCAGTTTTTAAACGTCAAAAATTTGAATTTTCTAAAAACACTAACACTATAAAAGAAAATTTTCAATTTTTGTTTTGCAAAATTTTCAACTTTCTGTTAAGTTTTGTTGATACAGGAGTATTGCAAATGCTTTGCTATAATTAAAAGTAACTGACTAAAGTCAAATGTTGTTGCATCTGTCGATATTTAAATGAAAACTTGAAAATAGAAAATTTTAAAAAATTTTGTTTGTATAAGTACACAAAAAATAGTATGGTCGAGTATGGTCAAGTATACTCTGTATGAGCCCATCTATATATCTTGATATTTACATAAGAATGTTAAATCACATGATAAATTTTCACATAATTTTGCAAAAAATTACTGAATTAAAGCCAAATGTTGTGACGTTTGCATCCATACAAATGTATTTTAGCTTATTAAATCTGAAAAACAGTTTTTAATTGTAAATAGAAGCATTTGAATGCAAAAAAAATTGATAAGATTTCATGGAAACACTTAAAATTTCTTACTTGCAAACACAAACATTCAAAATTTTTTATTACTTCCTCCCAACAAAGAACTTTATAATAATAAATTATCATATTTGACTATCTAAAGTCGATATTTACGTAAAAAAATTGAATTTTTGTAAATGCTTATAAAATATTTTGAATATGGCTGTCATTGACCAACAAAATTGTAAAAAACATCATTTTACTCTCACAATGACTACATAAATCATATATGGTTATCTTTGTTAACATAAAATCTATCAGAAAAAGTGATTAAAGTTCTTTGTTGGGAGGAAGTAATAAAAAATTTTGAATGTTTGTGTTTGCAAGTAAGAAAATTTAAGTGTTTCCATGAAATCTTATCAATTTTTTTTGCTTTCAAATGCTTCTATTTACAATTGAAAACTGTTTTTTAGATTTAATAAGCTAAAATACATTTGTATGGATGCAAACGTCACAACATTTGGCTTTAATTCAGTAATTTTTTGCAAAATTATGTGAAAATTTATCATGTGATTTAACATTCTTATATAAATATTTTAACTACGTCTAGCAACTTAATTTATACGCTTTTATCTAATATTTTACTTGCTTTTTACTATAATATACAAACTTTAGTCAATTAGTTCTGCTATGCATCAAAATTTGGAAAAACAATTATTAGCTCAAAAGTGTTTCCATGTGACAGTGTATATTTTAAGCAAAAATCTACTTTAATTAAATATTTTCCAAAGTTGCTTATCATTTTTAAATAGCTTATTAAACAAACTTTAAAACGATATATAACATGTTGGGAAAATATTACGTTTTATAAGAAATATCCTGTTTTTTCGTTATAAGCTACTACTTGTTACTAAGCTACTAGCTTAGTAAAGTTTTTTTGAACTTGAAATTTTTTTGTAATCTTTACTAAGCTACTACCAAAAATAAAGTATAATTAATCTTTTTCAACTTTCTAAGTATCAGTTTCAATGCCTTATGACATTGTCAATGAAATAAAATCGAGAAGATAGCAAAATTTCTTTAATTAAGTTAAAAAATTCAAAATTTTCATTGAGGTTCAACTTCTTTACTAAGCTACTAGTGAGCCAAAAAAAAAATCACTTTTTTATTCTTCTAAGCTACTAGCTTACAACGAAAAAACAGGGTATGTTGGAAAGAAAAATTTTCTTGAAACATGGAAACAGTTTTGAACGGTACTGTAACTCTGTTCCTTCTCTTATCTCAAATTTAAATTGCTTGAACTGTCAAAAAATTTCATCTCCCGAAAAGCGCTACTTAAAAACTGTAAAAAACGAACAATCCCAAACAAAAATATTGTTTATGATATTTACCCTGCGACAATACCGACTTGTCCAACAACCTTTGCAATCTCAGGTGCACCGTTCCATAAACTAAAAAGATTAAATAATTTTTTGTGTTTTTAAATTGTCAATATTTTTCAGCATATTTTAGAGATTGAATAATTCAAAGATGACGCCAGAATTTCGAATAAGAAATATCTGGATTGATTTTAAAGATCTTGTAGTTCACTACAGTGAAAAGCATAGAAAACTGCCTTAAGTGTGCTGCAAGCTTTTTGAAATTCTTTGAATTGTTGAAAACTTTGCATCACATATCTTTATTTACTTACCATATAGGACGGATGAATTTAGAATATTTCACAGGCTTGTCCAATTGTATTAAAGCAATATCTGCGTCATATTTTTGATCGGTTGGTGTCCAGTCTGGATGAACCTGAATTTAAATTCACGCACATCGTTTAATGTGATATTTTGTTTTAAATAGTATTACCTTAAAAGCAAGTGCTCCACGTTTTTCATATCCTTCCTCATTCCACTGAATCAAGTTATGTTTTCCAATAAACAAAAGTGCATCCTGTGGATTTAAATATGCACTAGCTGTTCCTTTGTCCTGTATACAATGGGCTTTTAGGAAGTAAAACTTAAAATTAGGAAAAATGATATTTAATAAATTTTTAACTTACCGGCTGATAGAACAAATCGTGCATTAAGTAAACTTCCACCACATATGAATTGCAGATTTCCTTCGGAACTCTTGTAGAAAGCAATTAACCTTTACATAAATGAACAATTAACACATTAGCGAATTTGGGAATAAAATTATATGTCTTAAACATATACCATGGCCATTCCCCATGATTTTGAACTGGTGCACCACCAACAACAAGACTTTGTGTAAGGACAACGGGAACTCCGCAGACAGTATTATCATCTTGGAATTGATTAATATTTGATTCATGTGTTGGCTTCTGTATTAACGGATTCTGTGGATTTTGACCATGTATTGGTGGATTTTGTGGATTTTGACCATGTATTGGTGGATTTTGTGGTCTAGGTTGTGTTTGTATATTGTGCTGACCGTCTAGTGTAAATCTATCACCATTCTCTTCATCCAATGCTTGAAGAATGTATTTCAAACGGAATGTTTGAGCCGGAACATCTACAAATAAAGATTTTATTCTCTTTCTTTATGTTTTTAATTTGCATGATGAGTAATTTGTTTACCAAGATTTCCTCTGCAAATCTCTCGCTTATTCTTGTAAATGGCTACTAATCGTGGAACAGGATTCTAAACAGGTTGGTGATATTTATTTATTTTCAGTTATAAACTAGTGACGCAATATTTTTAATATTATAGTACCTGTGAACGGAAATGAACTTCAAAAAGCAACGGCAGATTATTTTCTACATCTTCTGCAATCCTATCATGATCATTGACTAGCTCAATTTTTCCATGACGATTTTGTTGCCGTTGATTTTGTTGTTGAAATTGTTGATTCTTGATTGGGTCAGTAAGAAATGTCAATAAGTTCCAAATTCAAATGAATGCTTCTCTTGTCTTGCAAACTTTTTACGTTCCTTACCTGAACAATTGCAAAATCTGCTTCAATGACCAAATTTCTCGAAAGATCAGCATTTGCAATTTTTATAAGACCTTTCCACTCCCTGCCATCAGTAACGTACTGAAACTTCTTACCACAGGGGCTTTGCATTCGGTGTCTATGACCTTGTTGTTGTTGTTGTTGCTGCTGCTGTCCACCCAAGTAGCCTAAACCAGTATTGAGAAAACCATTGAAGACATTTGCACCTTGTCCAAATAAATTTGAATTTTGTTGTGGCTGTTGCTGATTATTACCAGCCTGACTAAATAAGTTTTGATCAAGTGTTCCAATATTGCACAAAGCAACACTGAAAAGACAAATAGCAGCCGAAGACATGGAGTTCTTATGCAAAACGAACTTAAGTGTTGATTCTTCAACAATTCAAGACAGACTGAAGGTTTTATTTGATATTTGTTTGTTTGTGTATTTCTTTTGTAAAACAACCGGTTCAAAGAGATGATTTTTTGTTTTTTCATATGTTGAGATTATAACTCAATGCTTCTGTCTAAAGAATGTA